GATCGGCTCGCGCTTGTTCCACCTGGACGGTAGAATTGAAGATGGCGAACGCTCTGGGAGATCAAACATACTCACCCCGACACGCGAAGCGAGGGCGTTCCTGGAGGTGGCCATACGGAGGTTGGAAACGATGGAGAAAATAGAGGAGGAGAACCTCCGCCTGAAAGAGGAGAACCACAAGTTGAGGGTCGAGGTCGAAGCCAGGCGTAGGGAACTGGAATCGTTGAAGAGACAGATGGAGGAGAAAGCACATACTGCGCCTCCTCCAACCACAAAACTGATGCCGCAGGAGGCTGTCGAGGAGTTGAAACGCTCCCTTATGATATCCATAGGGGAGATGGTCAACACTCGGCTGGCCTCCCTAGAGGAAAGGCTCCAGCTGCCACCAGCGAAGAGCCCGAGACCACCACTGGCGGCAGATCGTAAGGTGGGGAACTCAACGGAGACGAGGGTGACGGAGCCCTGGAGTGTGGTGGCCGCAAGGGGAAAGAAGGGCAAGGGCACGGCTCCTGCAGCCAGCCCCGCGCTGAAGGGTGAGGCCGTCACGCAGATCAAGCGTGTCACGGATCGGCAGAAGGGTGGGGAAAGGGCGCCGCGTATTAAGGTGCCGAGTACCGCCGCAGTCGAACTGAAGGTGAAGCCCAGGGTGGAGGAGCTGGGCTACACCTTCACGAACATAGTGAAGATGGCACGGGCGGCTGTTGAGCTGCCGTCCGTGGGCATCGATGACGGCTTAATAATAAAAACAAGCCAGACTGAATCCAGGCTCCTGCTCATATCGGGGCCTGGAAATAGAGAGAAGGCGGATGCTCTCGCCAAGCGCATGGAGGAGGCGGTTGGCGAGTACGCGGAGATTGGCTGGCCGGAAAAGTGCGCGATCCTAAAGCTGACCGGGCTCGATGAGTCCGTGACGCTGGACGAGGTCGGGGCGGAAATAGCCAAGGTGGGAGGTTGCGCGGTGCACGAAATAATATCGGGGGGAGTGCACCCAACGCCAGGAGGAGAAAGAGGGATGCTGGTCAGGTGTCCCACATGGGCTGCGAGGAAGGTCGCGGATGGGGGGAAATTGAAGGTGGGCTGGAGCCTGGCGAAGGTGACAGTCCTCAGCCGTCGCGTGCACTGCTTCCGGTGTATGGGAAGGGGGCACGCGGCGGCACGATGCCCGGCGAAGGAAGACCGGAGCACCTTGTGCTTCCGGTGTGGGAAAACGGGGCACAGGGCGGCGGTTTGCGCTGCTGCACCTCGTTGCGCAGTATGCGCGGAGAGTGGCTGGCCATCGGGTCACGTTATGGGGAGCGGGAGGTGTGACCCCCCGGTCACCAAAGGAAAACCCGAGAGAGTGTCCTCTGAGCGCCCGGACGGACGCCCTCGGAGGGGAGGATGTCTGAGTAGCCTTGGCCGCTCGGACCCCCCCATGAATGCTGTCGCCCGCCTTTCCCCCCCCTCTTCTCCTAGGTGAAGACGCGAGGAGACGTGGGCGACCGGGAGGGGGGGAGGGACGGGAAGAATTACGCTTCCCCTCCCGTTCTCCCCTCCCAGGAACGGCGGCCCCCCCACTCGTAGTTTTGTCCTACAAAGGGGGGCGGCGGAGGGTTCTTGGACGGGTACGCCCATGAGTCCCCTCCGCAGCGGATGGGGGGCGGTACGGTGGGCAGTAGGCCGCGTACCCAGCCCCCCCGCGCGGGCCTACCTGCGCACGTCTGCAGGGTCCCCGTAATACCGCGGGAGATCCCTGCCGTGGAGCCCCGGCGAGGCCGGGAAGCTGCTGGATACGGAGCCGTGGTTGAATCCCGCACGGGGACCCTGCGGCTCCGCGTTAAGCAGTGTAGAAGGTATTCGCAGGACTTTTTTAGCGGATATTATGCTGTAAAGCGCCCGTAAGAGTTGCGGGGTCCTCGGTGGGTAGCCACTAGAGGTTCCGTAAGACTTGCGGGAGCCAGGTGTGACGTCCGTTTGGCGGTGTGCCACTTAAAGGCGCCGTCGTCTGTAAAAAGATTTTTTAGCTGCGTTATAAAGAAAAAAAAAAGGGTTCTCTGTGACCACACATAGGTAGGTGGTTAAAGGATAATAATAGGTGTTCTGCAGTTAAGGGTTCTTTATTAACCATTAGCTTCCCTTAATTCCAGTGGCTTTTATTTCTTGTATTAAGTTGACTTCAAAAGCACAATTTGTTTTCATAATGTTTCTGATAACTTTACCAATTATATCAATCGAGGACAGAGCCTCGACTTTTGTCTGAGAAACATGTTCCTCTCGAGGGTTCCTCGGGATTGATTGATTGATTATTAGGTTCCTCAGATCCAGCAGCGTCACAAACCCCACGTACGGGTGTGTGGTCCGTTACCCGTACACGTTGTATCACGTTAGAGCAGGAATCACACTTAAAAGTACGCTTTCCCTCTCTAGACATGGCGGTTTTGGTGTTCTCACACCCATAACGATATCCTGTCTTGCATCCATTGCATTTGATTATTTCTCGTACCTCAATCTTTTTGCAACAAACAGTACAGTTCATTTTGGATATATAGAAAATTTATGTTACTCACTCAGTAAAAGCGCATTTTTCATAGAAGAATCCAAGAAGGTATGAGTGCACTATGCGACGCAAACCACCGGCAAAACACAAGCTTTACTTCACAATTGGAGTTTAACTTTAGTCCCCATTTTGTAATATGGCTAAGTCTAATTAATCATTGCAAAATTCTTCTACTTAGTAATTTATGTGAAAGTTTTTTTATAGGCCACCGTAGACACTCTGAATATGATTGTGAAGCAACAACCTGATATCCCTTGGGAGTTTTCCGCATCGCCAACGGAGAGTATTATGCTTTTAGACCCAGAAGAGGTTAAGCTGGAGTCTACTTTCAATATTGAGAAAGTAAAGTCTGAATCGGAATTCGAGGAATCGCAAGATGAAAATGAAACAGGTAGGTATTCATTTGTCAACTTCCATGGTGTTAGTGGTATGTACACCGGTTTTTGAGGTGTCACCTACTCAGAGGTCATGGGTTCGAATTCTGGTGGGGCAAATGTTTGTATGATGAATTCGAACTATTTGTACCTAAGTCATGGTTGTTTATATATACTATTTCTAGAAAAACAGACTTGTTCTATTCATTGTATGTACCGCATTAACTGCACGGAAGCGGCGCAAAACATATGTACTACATACGGTAGATATGCTCGTCGCCACAAACGCATGCAAAACAGTCAATTGCTTTCGAATTATACCCACATTGCGCGAAACATGAGTCGTTTTCTTTGCGTTATTTATTTGGATTGCTCACACACACACCGACAAAATAAAAAAATGTCACAAATCAAATATCTGCAAATGAATTCGGCTATCCATTCATTGGGTACGATTATGTTAAACTGGAATCCCAACCAATCCCATTGTGTTGATCTCATTTTATTCGCCCCGCCCACTTTGTAATTCGTTGCCTAGACTACAATGATGCTAAATTTTTTTATTCTTCACTATCAGAATTCTTTGGGGTCTATCTTCATTATGACATAATTTTGATCACAAATTACTTTCCATTATTTAAAGGCTCATTTTATTTTATGTTAATATATAAAGGTCCATGCAACCAGAGAGAAGCGAGGCATTTGAAAATCTTAAGCGGTCAGTAATAACAAAATCCCGACTGGCGGTAGGCCCCAGATCATGACCAGCCATTCTCAATTTGTCAGTGTCATGGGGACAGTTCGTGTGTGAATACGCTTCGTATCGTTCCGCAACTCAATACAACGACGTTTCTGCTGCAATTAGCGTTGATAAAGAGTCATTTACTAATCAAAGAAAGAAACGACAGCACTGTGGCCTCTTTACGGCCAGTCGTGGTCGTGCCCGCAAACTTGGTCGCAGCCCAACTGTATCGCCTGCGACCAAGGTTGCGGCCACGGACACGACTGGCCGTGGTCGTGGCCGTCTATAGTGCGCGAGGTGCCTAGGTCTCCTTCGTTTTTCCTTTCATTTGAATATAATAGCAAGTAGACCTGAAATACTTTTGATAAGGTTTGAATTATTTCTTTATCGAACAGCAAGTAAGCATTGCTGTTACCGTTAGGTATATAACTTTCTTGGGTCAGACGAACACAACGCCATCTGTAATAAAATATGCGTTTTCTTCCTCATTACACGGCTGCCAAAAGGAGATGATATTATCAGAGTTCATGTATGGTATACTTTTTATATAATGTTAGTTACACATTTTTAGTTTTTAATGCCCCTACCAAATATAAGCCTGATGATGATTATTATAAAAAAAACGGGTCACTCCTCTCCTGGCGACGTGACGTCATTAAAATTGCCGGCTCAATTATTAATGACGCTCTCCAAGAGGCCATCCCGTTAGCCGCCGGTAGGCGACTAACAACTCGCAGCAGCGCCCAATGGACGCGTGCGGGCCTCTCAGCGCTGTGACGCGGGGCGGACGCAGCCACACTGACGTGCCTGCGCCCTCCACGCGGCTACGGCAATTGCGACACCGCTTTCTCAATTTAGACTTAGCATAGGCTATATTATCAACTCGCTTCTCTCACCGCCCGTGCGGCGAGACTTCGGTGGGGCAAACGCTAACAGTGTTGAATTACCAACCATGTTGCGGTTTAACCTCACCGATTATTAGGCTTCGCTTAGGTTGGCCTGTGAAGGTGCTGGTCTAGGTCTAGTGGCAAGTGAGACTCGCGCCGGTTTCGGAACCGATTGTTTGCCGGCGCGGGCCTCACGAGTCTCTAACGCGTCGATCAAACTTAGCGATGATCGGCGCGGGCCAGCATCCACACACGCGTTAGCTCTCAAACAAGCTTCCCCGTTAGTTACCATAAACGGTTATCGTACCCCGTTAGGCCCCTTACAGCAAGGCCCTTCCGGCATTGCCTGCGCCCCCTACGCAAGATAAATAAAACATTATCGTACGATAACGACTAAACACGTTATCGTACGATAACCAATTAGCGAAGTATTGTTCAACACTTCTATCTCGTGGTGTAAGATTTCATAGGGACCAGTCGAAAACGCATCTTAAGCGGCAGAGGCAGCCTAAGGGGGCCCCACGGCCTCGCTAATGGCAGATCTACATTTCTGTTTGTTGTCTTGTATTGCGTCGCATCAGAGACCTTTCTGTTTCATACATTTAATGATTAGAGCGAGAACGGTGTCGAGACATCGTGATACACTAGTGTAGTTCTAACCGTGCTAAAAGTATGAAACCGATCGCGTCATAACACAACGCGACAAACAAAATGATAAGGTGTACGCACACAGTAGTGAAGAAGCGAGCAACCATATTCCGCGTGTCCAACGAGGTCATTTTCCATCCTCGCTCATGGTATGGTTGGGAGTTTCCTATTGGGGCTTAACGGAGGTACATTTTTGTGAGAAAGTTTTACACCTTTCTCGAATGCAGTTGTGTATCAAAATACAGTCCTGACGAACCTTGTGGAACCTGTTTCTCATACCATGTTCAATAACAGGCACTGGGTATTACTGGATACCAACAAGATTAGGCGCCAGCTCATAGAGCGAAGAGCACACAAGACTGGCTGGCGGCGCGTGAAATAGACTTCATCCGGCACGAAGACTGGCCCTCCTCCAGTCCAGATTTGAGTCCGTTATCCAGTCCAGATTTGAGTCCGTTAGATTACATGATATGGCAAGACTTGGAGGAAAAGGCGTGCTCATAGCCTCATCCCAATTTGGAGTCACTCAAGACATCCTTGATTGAGGCAGCTGCCGATATTGACATGAACCTCGTTCGTGCTGCGATAGACGACTGGCCGCGCAGATTGAAGGCTTGTATTCAAAATCACGAAGGTCATTTTGAATAAACTTTGTTGTCACAAGAATCTATGTTTTGTTAAGTTCATTTTGGTATATAAACGGTTACATAATGAATAAACTTGTTTCAATTATTTTATATTAAACATGTGACAGAATTTAGGAGGATCGATTAAAGTTGTTCAAGATGCAATCTCTTCGCCAGCGACGCATAAAGCTGGATATGGTTTTTTTGCACTGTATCGTGAACGGCAAAACTGACTGCCATAATATTGTTAGCCAAATTGGTGTTTCAGTGCCATATAACTACCCGCGAAAACCAATTATGAGTATATTTAATATTCCATACTGTCGAACGAATGTCGGACTCCACAAAATGTAAACTTGATCAACCTGATGCATATAAATATTCAAGGAATGATGGGTAAGGACTTAGAAATTGAATTATTTTTGAATTGTAACAATATAGATATATTTTGTATCACAGAGCATTGGCTTAAAAGTCATCAATTCATCTTTAATTTTAATAATCATCAGGTTGGTAGTTCGTTCAGTTGAGAAGATGCGATTCGCGGTGGCTCTTTAATTTTATTAAATAAGGCACTTAAATTTAAGGAACGTAAAGATATTGTGAGCGTCTCGGTTGAGCGAACAATAGAGATTGCCTGTGTGGAACTGGACCAGCTTGATGTATTGAGTGTATACAGACCTCCTTCAGCATTGTATGATTGTTTTGAAACTATTATGGATGAAGCTTTAGAAAAAATTTTCAACACTGGTAAACGATTAATTGTTTGTGGTGACTTTAATATTAATCTATTAGAAACCTCTAATTTGAGTATTAAATTAAGAAATCTATTTCAATCATATAATCTTGAAAACTTGTTCATGGAGCCTACTAGAATAACTGCCACTTCGGCCACTTGTATTGACAATATTTATACGGATATAATACCACATTCAAAAGTAATTGTTAATCAACTGGATAGTGATCATTGTGGCCAGATGATTACTTTTCCACATCCAAATAAAAATATCACCAAGAAATATATTACTATTGTGCCAAAATCTGTTAACCGTATAGAGCGTTTTAAAATTCAATTAGATAGGAGTTTGAGTTATTTAAAGTATAAAAGTAGTCCAAATGATATGTATAATGATTTTTTTAATAATTTTTGTAAAGAATTTAATGATGTCTTTGTTCCCAAAACCATATGTGTTAGTGATGCAGTAACTTTCAGCGAGTGGGCCACCCCAGGCATACATAAAAGTAGAAGGAAACTTTATGAACTTTACAATGAACGCAGCATTAATACTAGTGAAAGTTTCAAAGAGTACGTACGTATTTATTCAAAGTTATTTAAAAAAGTATGTCTTACAGCAAAATCAAATTATTTAAGTAGTAAGATATAGAATAGTAATGACAAAATCAAAATGACTTGGAACATTATAAACAATGAAACTGGAAAATCTAAAACTCGAAATACTAGTTTTAATTTAAACATTGAACATAGAAATGTTACATCAGATGTTGAAGTTGCTACAGCATTTGAGAACTTTTTCACTGATATTCCAGTTTCAACTACAAAATCTTTGAACTCGTCCCCCATTGCTGCTGAATCAATATTAAAAGAACACACAAAACAATATACTAGTCAATTTAAATTTAAGTATGTTAACTGTAAAGATGTAATAAAATATTTCAACCAATTAAATAAAAAGAAAACTGCGGATCTGTGGGGTAACTCCGTGGATGTTTCTGGATCAGTAATTGAGACAATAGCTCCTATTTTGGCTAGCATTTTTAATCAATGTGTTGACTGTGGTGTTTTTCCTGATCTAATGAAACTCAGTAAAATAACTCCATTACATAAATCGGGTAGCACATCTGACCCCACAAACTTTAGACCTATATCCGTGTTACCCACCTTTAGTAAGATTTTTGAAAAAATTATGCTAGATCAAATGCAATCATATTTTTATAGTAATAACATTCTTCATAGTAAACAATTTGGTTTCACAAGGGGTCGCTCAACAACCGATGCCGGTGTTGAGCTTGTACAGCAAATTTTTGATGCCTGGGAGAACTCGCAAGATGCATTAGGTGTATTTTGTGACTTATCAAAGGCTTTTGATTGCGTTTTTCATGAAACATTGATCAGGAAACTTCACCACTATGGATTTAGAGATACCACTCTGGATCTTATTGTATCTTATTTGAGTGATAGGGTTCAGAGGGTTGACATCAATGGAGTAAAATCTCCTGGTTCGTCGGTTAAGATGGGAGTTCCGCAGGGCTCAATCCTTGGTCCTTTCTTATTTTTAATTTATATCAATGACTTGCCCTATTTTGTAAAGGATAACCACGAAATAGTATTGTTTGCGGATGACACTTCACTTTTGTTTAAAATTAAACGTAGGGAGTCACAAATTGATGACGTGAACAGGTCTATTTCGAAGGTAGTCCACTGGTTCAATGTTAATAATTTGATGCTAAATGAAGGGAAAACTAAGTGTTTGAAATTTGTATTACCTAATGTGAAACAGGTAAAAACTAATGTAAATATAAAGGATCGACATATGAGCTCTGTAGATACCACAGTGTTCTTAGGAATCACACTAGATTCTAAGCTGCAGTGGGGCCCACATATTGATGGATTGTCGAAGACTTAGTTCTGCAGCATATGCTGTAATGAAAATACGGCAGTTAACGGATATAGAAACTGCCAGATTACTCTACTTTAGTTATTTTCATAGTGTAATGTCTTACGGTATTTTACTGTGGGGAAATGCCGCCGACATTCAAACTATATTTGTGCTGCAGAAGAGGGCTATTCGATCAATTTATAATCTTAAAGTTAAGGATTCATTAAGAGATAAGTTTAAAGAAATAGGTATATTGACAGTTGCATCACAATACATATATGACAACTTAGTATTTGTAAAAAAAAAAATTAATTTGTTTACTAAAAATAGTGAAATACATACATATAATACTAGAAATAAAAATAACTTAACTTTACCTGCTACTAGGCTCCACAAAATCAATAATTCGTTTAGAGGTCTTAGTGTTCGCTTTTACAATAAAGTTCCAAGCAATATTCAAGAGTTAAGCATGACTAAATTTAAATCGACCATTAAAAAATCACTAGTTAAGAAAGCATATTATAAAGTGTCTGATTATATTACAGACAAAAATGCTTGGGTATGAACTGTTCCAACCATTCCGACGGGTATTTCTATATGATTTATGTGTTGACAATACTATAATTAAACTGAAAGCTGTATATAAAGTTAATAACTTAAGTAAGATTATCAGACTGTTTAAGAATATTTGATTGACAAAACGGCGTGGTCGTGATTTCTCCTTTGCTTTGTTTTGTAATTGTTTGTTGTGTCTTACAGGTAAATGACCTTAATTTAAGTAAATATGTTGTAGTTAGTATGGGTAGTTATGGGTAGTCATGCTCTCATAATAGTCTCTTCGGCGGTGTCGTGTGAGGCGGGTCGTTACGTTCCCTAAAATATGGTTGAGCGAAGCGATGGCTGGTTCATGCGTCATGCTCGTGAACGGGTGCTGCCAGCGGAGATGAGTCTGCCCTAACTTCCTTAATATTGAAGTTAATGTTTAGTCACACTGAATATAAATAACACTATTTGTATTTATACTGTATGACACAGCAATCAAAATGCAGGTAAACAATTAATGTAAAATTCATATTTAATACCATTACGTAAGTGTAGGTCTAGGTGTGGTTTTAAGATTTTATTTTCCACTAATAGGTACCACCTGTATAACAATTACTTAGGCATGAGAGAAAATAAATTGTTCAATAGACGAAAGCAACATGCGGACTGTAAGTATCGCTATTATTTGATGTCAATATGATGTTGATGCCAAGTTGACATGATATTTATTACTTGTACATTATGGAAATAAAGAGGCTTGTATTTATACATTTAAGAATAATTAAAACAAAAAATATACTATAACAATGAACCTAAAACTAAAAACCTTAAAAAAATAAAATATAATAACTAAAATACATTATTAAAAGGAGTCCCTTTAGGCAAGGTTCCGAAGATACTGGCAGCGTTCCCCCTTTGGATAGCTAGACTAATTCTTTGTCCAAGGTAGCTGCCAGCTCTTCGGTCTCCTGTGATGTCGACTAATCTTTTCGCTATTTCTTTAAAAAGCCTTATAGCGCTAGGACCCCACGGACC